TTCACCACTGTATCTATGCATCTGTTGAGGTGCACTTGGGCTGCTTATGTAAATTCACTATTGTAAATAATGCTTCAGTGAACATAGGGGTGCATATATTCTTTTAAATTAGTGTTCTGGGTTTATGTAAATATACACAGAAGTGGAATTGCTGAGACATAAGGCAGTTCCATTTTTTATTTTTTGAGGAAACTGCATAGTGTTTTCCACAGTGCCTGCAACAAGTTGCAGTCCCGCCAATAGTGCATGAAGGTTCCCTTTCCTCCACAGGACTTGCTGTTTATGGCTTTATTGATGATAGCTATTCTGACAGGTATGTGAGGTGATATCTCATGTGGTTTTAATTTGCATTTCTCTGATTACTGGAGTGACCTTGAGCATCTTGTCCTATGTCTACTTGCCATCGGTGTGTCCTCTTTGGAGAAGGTCTATTCAGGCCTTTTGCCCATTTGTTTTAAATTGGATTGTTTGTGTATTTAGTGTTGAGTTGTGGTGTTTATATATTTCAGAAATTAACCCCTTGTCAGATGTATCATTGGCAAATATCTTCTGCCACCCAGTAAGTTATCTTTCATTTGTTGATGGTTTCCTTTGATGTGCAAAACCTTTTTAGTTCTGCTATAGTCCCATTTGTTTATTTATTCTTTTGTTTCTCTTGCCGAAGGAGATATATCAGATAAAAAAAAAAAACATTGTAAGAAAAATTTCAGAGATTGCTGTCTATGTTTTATTCCAGAAGTTTTATACTTTTGAGTCTTACATTTAATTCTTTAATTCATTTTCAGTTTATTCTTGTACATGGTGTAAGAAGGTGGTCTAATTTCATCTTATGCATTAATCTGTTCTATTTTCCCAGCACTGTTTATTGAATAGATTGCTAGCACCCCACTGCATCTTCTTATCTCCTTTGTCAAATATTCATTGACAATATAAACATGGTTTTAGTTCTAGACTGTCTATTCTGTTCCATTGATTTATATGTATGTTTTTATTCCAGTACCATGTTGTTTTATTATGACCTTGTAGTACAGTTTGATATTAGTTAGTGTGATACTGATATTTTATATTGGTTCTAGGACTATATCTTCCAAGGTAATTCTAAAGTCAATGTCAGGGGAAGCATTGCTACAGAAAGAAGTTGTGAAGTTAAGACATGGGCCACTGTGTCTTCGAAAGAGCAAATATATGCAGCATCACTGTGTCTATGTTAACACTCTCTGCAACACACAGGTCTTTCCTCTAAATTGCTTACAGGGGCAATTTTCTCAACTGTTAAAGGTTAACAAAATATTTTTTCTTAAAAAACCTTAATTGGGCTTTTCTCTTCTTAATCATTAACTAAGCTGACTATTTTATCACAAGTCAATCATCTGATAGGAATGTTTTCAGATTAGTTTTTGGTTCAATAAGTGATGTGTTTCAGTAAAATAAAAAAGCACTGAAAATAATGACAGGGAGAAAAATAAAGCTTTATAAATTTACCATAATAAAGTTTTCCATCTCAAAATTGTCCAGATTACCATAAGCTTTCAGAATGTGCTCAAAAAGCATGAATGCAAATTTTACCTCATTTATAATTCTGACAATATTCACTTTGAAATCAGAATAGATACAACCCATTCCCACCAACAATGTAAGAAGAAAACTCTTTTTTGTGTGTGTGTCTAGTTCTAGCAGTTTTCAGAACAGGTTATGGTTCACAGCTAAGAAAACCATAATGGACATAATGTGGTGTGGTACCTTTAATGCTTGCTTACATTTTTATGTTTGAAAATTTATGCACATATTTTGAATAAAGCAAGCTTTAATTCATATTATAGTAACACACTTTAGTTATAATATAAATCTTGCCTACTATCTTGCTT